GGAAAGAGAATAGTAAAATGAAACTATTTGGGCTTCCAAGATTTCGCTTAAATACTTGGAAGATACACCCTGGCTGTACTTTTAGCAAAATCTCTATGAAACCTCCCCCTGTCCATGCTCAAATCCTGATATTACAATGTGCAGTTTCAATTCTGTGCCAGATTCCCACAAGGCTTCACATCCAAACTCACAATAAATCATGGGTAATAGTAAATAAGTTAATAAATCACTCACACCAACTGACCCAACTGAGTGGTGATGCTTCCTGTAGCCCACAGTGCTAAACTTAATTACACTGTTTTGAATAATTAGCTCATTGGCATTCCTGTGCTAAAGAAAATGTCATCAGTAATTTATAGGAGCTGCACAAAGAATAATAGTTCAGAAAAGCCCCGTGTGAGATTAATTAATCTTACACCTCCAAGAAAGTCATCAAAAGGTCCCTGTAATGATGTCCCCCAGAGTTATCACTGTGATGGGCAGAAGTCAAGCCAAGCTCTTCTCAAGCACTGAATGCTGCAGCACTGTAAGCCTGTTGAGAATACTGCTTATGGGAGTTTGCTGGAATCCAAAACGAGGAGGAAACACAAATCCCAGCTCCTGCAGGAAAGGAACACACCGATTTTCCTTTCCAGAAGGCCTCTCCACACTCCCACCAGCATCCCCAGATCTCCTGGCCCTCACACCGTTCCCATGAGTCCATAATCTCTTCAATATTTCACATCTTTCCAGCTTACTTTACCCTCAGGAAATAACCTCACACCCTGGTGCTATCGCTTCACTAAATCTGTTAGCTTCTCTTACCCTGCTTTGCATATCCTTATCATTTCATTATTCTGCAGCATTTTGCAGCTAAGGAATGTTTGAATTAAGTAACATTCACAAAAGGGAGTTATGAAATGAAGGCATCTGATCAACATCAGATGTTCATCTTATCAATACAAATCACTGGCAGGAAGAAGCCTAGGTGCTTATCTTGGAAATTCAGACCTCACAGGCTCCAAAATCCAGGATTCAAAATGCTCTCTCTGTTGTTTTAGCTGAGTGTGAAGGAGAGTCCTGTCAACAATCTGGGCAAGGAAGCAATTGAGTGAAGTCCTTAAAACTGTACATATTTTACACGCACACGACTTCAGTTGCTGTAGAGAGTATTGACTGCCATTTCCAAATTACATTTCTTTTCAAAATATTTCAGTAATAGAGTAAAGCATGCCTGTATGATGCAGAGCAGTCTGCAGTCACAGCTGAATGGGTTTTGGATTGAGCAATGCTGAAGCAGCACTCCTGTTCTGAGATGAGGATTCCAGGAAGCAGCTACTGGCCTACGTCCTTGGTCCAAAATGGAGAGACTGCAATGACTTTTTTAGGAGAAGAATGATGACATCATAAATAAATAATGTGTATTTTTTATCCTGACAGTAGCAGAAGTGAAATACTTAGTGACAACAAGCTCTTCATTGAACCTTGTGCTGTGTGGTGATGTTATCTGGCTGTGCCCTAACACCAAATTGTCAGCCATCTCAGGTCTTTGCCAGTGCTCATGAAGATTTACGTTCTTTGCATCAGTTTGATTAACTCAAACCAAAAACCAAGACAGCCCTTCTGATCCAATTCCTCTGTTCTTCGTTTGCGGTGATAATAAAACAAACACTGAGGAAAATTTTGCTTTTGTCTTTCATTATACCTTACGACAAAGATTTCAAGGCTCAGCACAAACAGAAATCTCAGCAAAAAGAAAGAGGTTGCAGAGGGACACAGACAGAGAGGATGAGAGGTAATGGCCTTAAGTTGTGCCAGGGGAGCATCAGGTAGGATATCAGGAACAATTTCTTCTTGGAAGGAGTTGTCAGGTGCTGGCATGGGCTGCCCAGGGGACAGGGGTGGGGGGTCACTGTCCTGGGGTGTTCCAGGAACATGGAGATGTGACCCGGAGGGACATCAGCAGAGGAGGGCTGGGGTTGGGCTTTGGCATCTCAAAGATCTTTTCCAACCTGAATGATTCTATGGTTCTACAACAGTAGCCCAGAATGTTCTGTGAAGATCATTTCCACAGCGTTGGGGTGGCAGAACCTCAGCCATTGTCAGGCAACACTAAGTGAAAGCAAGGTCTTGCTGAGCACACAGCTCCTGGGCACCGAGCAGCTGCCTCATCTTTGTCCACTGGGTTTGTGGCTTGAGAAACTGTAATCTGCTGAAAACAGTGGAAATTCCCACAGGAAATTTATTTTAAGGCTGAACTGTTTTATAAATAATTCACTGCAATTGACAAGAATCAGAATAAAAAATAGTGAAGTCATCTTAAACTTTTAGATGGAATTTAAGGAAAAAAAAACCCCACCTGATCTGACACAATCGATGCAAAAGTCACTCCCAATACAGAACAAATGCAGAACAAAAGAAGGAGGCAGATGAAAAGGAGCAGCTGTTGCCTGAGACCAGCGAACTGTGAAAGCAAGCATCTGAATGCTCACAGCTGTAATGGCTTTTGCTATGAAGCTCCCAGCACTGCCTACAACGCGCTGCAGGCTGACCTGAGCTACCAGCAAATCAGCTCAGAAATGGCTGGAAGTCAATCACCAGAACCAGGCGCAGAGCATCACAAGAGAAAGACGCCGCAGCCACGCACCCACTTTGCTCTTCTGTTTGCCTCCTGAGTCAGTTCTTGACTTTTCATCTTTTCCTTTTTACCTGAAACCACCAGATGAATCTCACCCAGGAAAACACACAGCCTTCACCTCCAGCATCCCGGGAGAGCCAACAGCATCGCTACCTTTTAATAACCTGTATCTCAACACTCTCAGTTTACTTATAAAGTAACCATGAGATAGAAGACCAACGTACACCATGGCATCCCTGGGACACACTTAGAATCCCAGGTCTGTTTGTCTACCCCAGCTGTGTTTTGTTTGATGCAGAAGCACACTTATCAGAGCCCAGTTTCCATGTCCACAGCCAGTAAAATCCTGTGGCAAAAATGAGTCATTTCAACATAAAACTCAGCAGAAACAAAAAAAAAAAGTTAATTGAAGGTCACTCGTTTGGTTCTTCTTCTTCTTAAAAATAAAATAATAATTGAAGTGCCCCCAGTGACACTCAGCATGGGGTAAAACAAGGCAATTTTGTTACAGCTGATGGAATTAGCATGAGATAAGTAAAGGTTAAATGTCAGCATGGAGCGCGGAGGATTCCAGGAGGGGACAGGATAAGCATAGGGCTGTGGATGCTACAGCCTGCAGCTGGCTGGGGGATTTCACAGCTACCTTAGGATGCTCACTGTCTCTTACAACTGAAGGTGAAATTGTTAAGCTTTTTCTATTTTTCAATGTTTGAAGAATTTATCTTCAGTGCCATCCACGTAAGAGAGCAGATGGATCTGGTGACTTTGAATGCTGCCCTTCACACAAAGCGATCTGCCAATAATTCGGATTATAAGTTACAGCCAATGTGAAATATAAAGGAAGCAAAGAAGATATTGAAATATGAAATAAGAGAGTAATTTCTCAAGGTAAGATCCTAAACAAAACATAGTCAATGAAGCTGAGAAATCCAAGTAGGTTACTCTACAGATTACAGAGAAGAGAGTTCCCCAGTATGCAGATAAAAACGTCAGGAGCAAAGAAGAGTACAATAATATGACATTTCTAAATAAATACAAGTGAATCTAAGCTTTATTATCACATTTCCTTTCTGACAATAAAAATGAGTTGTGAAGAAAAAGAATAGCCTCATCATTCTGCCGGCTGCTTTTATCTCAAGGAATAGGCTCCAAGATTGCATCCTTTGCATTCTGTACTTTCCATCATTCCAGCGCCATCTGCATGAGCAGCTGCTCCCCCCATCGCTGCCATTTACCTCCACAGAGCTCAACACTGAGGGAATGCAGCATCTCCAGCAAAGGCACCCCTGCACCGACTGCAGCTCCAAGATGGGCAATGGGATTTCAACATTACTGCTCCATTTCGCTAATAACGAGTAATTATCTACGTGTTCATTAAGCAACATAAGACTGAAGCAGTGATCCCAGAAGCCCAATCAAATTGCACTTGCAGCAAAACTGACCTGCTAAATCTCAGCAAAGAGAAACCTCACGGGCTGCTCAGGAGCTCCTGTTAAGTCCCACACAAACATAAGAGTGAACAGCACCTTTATGACTGAGCTTCCGTAACTTTATAATGGGCATTTATCTATTATCAAGTTTCACTAAGAACAAAGAAAACCACAAATACAGATACTGCAACCTTACAGCGGTACTCAAGAAGGAAAAATGTTTTAAATTCAAAGTTCATGCTGCATCAGAGGGCCAACCATGGACTGCTCCCACTCCAGGCAGGCCCAGCAGCACTTGGCCTGTGCAGGATAAGGCATGCAGGTAAGCTGCCAGCCCACAAGCTTACATTCAGTAACAGCAATTTGAAGGTGCGTGCATAAAAGCAGCACATAAACGTGCACAAAGAAATCTGTGCATCACCGACGTGTATTTTACATGGCTCTACAAGGGAAGTTCTTACAGAAATTCCTGTAGGAAGAGCTGTGGAATCTCAGGGCAGCAGTGGGACCCCTCATTCCACACCATCCTCAAACCCTGCACTTTGCTTCCCACCTGGCTCTGTGTCTGTCTGCCACCTTCAACTTCCAGTTCATCAGAAAACAGCACACCGAATAGCAAGAAGTCTGTTGCTAAAACCGCATTAGGTTTCTCTCCCCAGAGCAGACTGATATAGAATTAAAAGAGCACCATAGAAAGACGTTTTCCAAACTCTCTATCAGCAGTTGTTTCTCAGTGCCCAGACCTCAGAGCCCCACATGTCCCAGAGCACCATATGGGGCCGTGGATGCACTCCAATGCAACCTCTGCCTTTGTGGAGCACCACCCAGGGCATCACAAAACCAACCCACTGACCACCCCAGAGCAAAGGCAAACAACGTCCCATTCCCCAGCTCCCCAGCGCTGCAGGCACCACCAGGACCAGACACAGTCTGGGGGAATGGCCATAACTCACCCACTGGTGCCGTGCCTTGCTGTTACATCTGCAGACGTGACAGCCTGGCTAAACCCACTGAGGGCAGCAGGAATGTTTTGATTCCATCACCAGAACTGGCATCTAGTTCAGTGTCAGGCTTCACCTCCAGAAATAGTTCTCACAGCTCAGGCAGCTCATTTTCCTCCCGAGCTGTTGGCAGCCAGTTATCTACCACTGCTCCTAGAAGCAAGCGTTAGTGACAGATGATCTGAGGGCTGTTAAACTTGACAAGGATGTAGTTCAAGTCCCACAAAGCCTTGTGCTAGGCCTACCTGGGAAGTGGCAGTTCCTCCTCTCTTGGCACCTGTGGAATCCAGCATAGGGCACCCCCAGCATCACAGTGGGGACTGGGTCTCCTTCCTTCCACCAACGCTGACACCAGTGGGACATCGCAGGGATGCCCAGACCTCTCCAATGATGGATTTGTCCTATAAATACAGAGAACCCTTCAGCCTTTGGTGCACAAAGCAACTCAGTTGGTTACAACAAGAGCCTGGATTATTCATCTCTCTCCTTCACAGGCCCCCAAATTGAGAAATGTTCTCTTTTTAAATTATTCATGACACTATTATTACTGTAAGTCAAAGCACCGTTTAATGAAATAGCATTTTCAAAGTATGTTTGCATTAAAACCAGAATGCCACGTAGTTAAGAAATCATCTCTCTGTTAGTCTGCTGAATTACAAGAAAAACAGGTCCAAATCATGTTTGCAACTTGAGATATAACTCCTCTCTGCTACTCAAATCAATACATCATTTAATTGTGTTCTATTGCTTTCTTTGCTTCCACACGGGGTCAGGAAGGACCCTGAGAACATCCCAGTTGCTGTTTTCCCAAGTCGCTTTCACTCGACACGCACCTGGACTTGTATTTCAACCTTCAAGCCTTCTCCAGCTGCAGGGCAGCAGGGAGACGTGAGCGAGCACACAGCCAAGGCAGGCACTGAGCGTCCCTCTGGGCCGTGCCTCATGCAGAAGCTCTTCCTCTCAGCTCATCTTCTGAAGCTGCCAATGAAACTGTGATGGGAAAAGCATGCAAAGCTATCAGTGCTAATCCCAGCGGATGAAACCCCACGCAGTACCTATGGGCCCCTTTACCTCCCTGGCTTTTTTGAACAGTGGAAGTATTTCTGAAGCACTGGTTGGTCTGAAGTTAGATATCCAGGTTCATGCTCTGTCTTGCACCCCATGGCTTTCGCCTCTCTGACTCCAGCACATGGAACTGACTGCTCTGTTCTGACTTCACGCTGGGAAATATCTGTGGTTCGGTCAGAATCGAAGCCCAAAACTCAAAACTAATACATCTGAAAATGAACTGCAGTTATTTATTCTCCACGAGTATCTACATTCAATTTTTAGGAGTATTTATTTAAAGTTCAAAAAAAAAAAAAAAAAAACAACCCCAGACCTGAAATTAATTTTATCTCATAGGTTGGAAATGCAGTTCAGAGCTTGAGTGAAGAAATTAAAGGAAGGCTGTGCCTCATCCAGCCATCTGTCTCCCAACAGGCACACGGACGGAAACGGACCCTCAGTGCTGCTCCCAGTTGGCTGCAGCATTAAGCCTGACTGCTCTGTATTGCCTTCTAATGACATTCGTTAGGGTCTGGTATGGATACATTCAACCCTGGGAACCAACTGATGACCTTCAGGGGAAAATCTGCCTTGTATGCACTCAGCTCCTCCTCTTGAGTCTGGTTAGAGCAAGCACTGATTTGCCATTTCTCCCGCTTCCCACCAGTGCTTCAATCTGTCCCCTGCTTTTAGACAGGCATTTCTTTTTCAAAATACATAAATAGAAAGATTGCAGAAATTAAGTAAAGATACTAGAAGCCTCCAATTATATAGAAACAAATTGGCACCTGGAGGATCGTATGGCAAGATAAACCTTCCCACAAGTGTTTATTTTTTCTTAGTAAACAGAGACGCTGGAAGCAAAATTACCGCTTCCTACAAACAGCAAAAGGATTTGTTTGGTAAGCTGAAAGCAAAACAGACAAATGTGCCACAGTTATATTTGTATGAAAAAAGCTTCCATGTAGAACTTGAGTCCGTGCAAGTCTCCCAAAGGCATGTTGTGTTTCATTTGCACAGCTGGCATACAGGACCTCCTGCTCAGATCCCCCCAGAGCCACCACCTTGACCAGAGCCGCAGGTCCATCCCAAGGCAAAACAGTCACCTTCTGCACTTTCTTTTCTTCCTTCATGGCCATAAAGAATCCATGTATTTGAAGAAGCATTTTTCCTCCGTTGTGCATCAGTGGTTAATTCACCACACTGAGAAAAGCACTACTTAGAGATCAATTTTACAGCTGGAATTGAAAAAAATATGAAGAATAACCACTCTATTCCAGACATGATGGCAGAGCATGGATTTGAAGCAGTCTCAGACTGCGGAGATGTCACTGCCTGCACCTCCAGCAGCAGCCACTGGCCCCATGACTTCCAGAGGCACAGGAATGGCACACAGAACCAGCTGGGTTTGTTGGAGCTGTTCTCCATCTCATTGTCTTCCATCCATAATCTTACTGTTGTTCCAGCACCCAAATTAGGATACATCAAGATGATAACAAGACTGCAATGCATTTAAAAAATAAAATCCAACGGTGCTGTAATACTTGTGTTGCTCCATTTCCCACTGCTAACTTTCTAAGACAAGGGTGTCAGTTCTTGCAGAGATGCAAAGAGCTGAGTACGTAACCAAACACACAGTGCACTTACTCCAACAGGCAATCCCTGGAAGGACTTTTTGCATCATGGTCACGATGGGAAGAGCACAATGACATCCTCATCTGGGTCCTCTTGTGGCCAGCTGCCCTCACTGCTGCTAAGGACTGCCAGGTTCTGATGACTTTGGAGTATGAAGAATGAAACAAGCTGTCCAGAGATGGAGGTCACACAGCCAACAAGAGAGAGATGAGACAACACAGGTGGTCAGGAAGAGATGGAATGGGAAAAACATGTGATGAAATACACATGACAGGAGTGGCACCAACCCCCTCATCTCCGTGCTGGTACTGAGATGCTAAAAGCAAACAGTAAGAAAGCAAGATGTTCTTTCTCTGCTGCTCCTGAACACAGAGCCCATCTGGCAAAGCTCACAGATCTGCTGTCCAGCCATATTTTGAATGTTTTTACATTCCCCAAATTGGCTATGTCTTCTGATATGACTCAATACATCATACTTCACAGAGGATAAGTAACTTCCTTTGCGTATCTGTGAGCACAGAGCACCATGAAGCTACCCAGAACTGGTACTCACAGCAAAAGAACTAAATAGAGGTCTGCCCTCTCTCTGTCTACTTGTTTTTCACCTAAACACCAAGCTGGCTGAAATGCCCCTTTATGTCTACCAGTGCATCTCAGCCTTATTTTGAGCAAACAGAACATTTCAGCGCTGCTGACAGTACAGTGCTTTAATAGCCACTTACTGAGATCTGCAGGGGTGGCTGAAATCTGCCACCACATTAATCTCATCCTGTAATTAGCTACCTGGGGAAGACATGTATTATTCAGAGGACCTAGGTTAAAGAAAAAATAGCCCCAAGGGTGCAAAACTCCTGACATTCCTCCCTTCCCAACAGCAAGAAGGGATGCACATCCCTCACTGCACTGACACAACATGGGACAGTTTTGCTCTGTGTGCTGCAAAGCGCAGTCCTGACAGATGAACTGAAACATCACTGCGGAAATCAAAACGGCTTCTGATACAAGCACAAACCCCTGCACCTAAAGATCTCCAGCAGCACGTTACAAAGAGGCTGCAAGGTATCATACAATATTTATGAGCACGAGATATCTACTATAGATTAATTCATAAATCCCCCATCCATAATTTATAGTCTATTTACAGAGCAGAACAGTCATCGCACAGCAACCACCACAAATGCATTCACTTAAACTTCAGGGCATTTGTAATGACTGCTCGGAAATAAGAAGGCCATAACAAAGCAGGCACAGTTGAGGACTGAAATGCACAGGAGTATAAAGAAAGGAAAGGCATTTTTAAGGCAACTGATGTGCTATAAATTTTTAATGCTCTATAAAATCTTTCATTTACTTAGAAATATTTATATAACATTAAGTGCATTACTCCAACTCAAAGGAAGAATTAGTCTTAACGCGTTTCATGGAGCACTTGGATTTTCTATCCTGGATTTTACCTCCATACTTAACCCAGCACAAATTATTGTCTAAGATTATTCGTATCAAAGCAGCACACCTTCACTTTCTCAAAAATCATCCCTGAACACAACTGCTGTCTCCAGGGGATCATCCCAAGCATCCATCCATTAGGCTTTTAGGGTAGTGTGCAATAAATTGGATGATTAAAACCTGAACAGCCCAGTAATTCATGCACGTGCAATGCACACTGCATATACATGGAAGTGCCTGAAGGTCCTGCTCAGTACAGGCTTCCTTCTCCTCCACCAGCTGGCTGGAGGAAGACACTTGGCCACAGGGCTCTTATACCAGACAGCAGGTTCCCATCAGAAAACTGACATGTTACAAAGCTGTGGTGTTCCTGCAGCTCACGAGGCCTGGGTTACACAAGGAGTTTGGGTTTCTGGTTCAGTTGCTGTGATAACTGACAGGTGCAACTCAACACAGGGCCACAGCTCTCGTTACTCAGCTAATTGAGCTTCCTGGGACAGTGCACATCATTCTCTTTTTGACGATGGATTTTGTTCATTAAATGTCTTCACAATGATCCTCTGCATACACGCAAAGGTTTTAAGTTGCTGTTAATTTTAACAAGCTCTCAGAGCGAGAAAGAAAGGTCTGGGGATTTTTTTGTTTTTGTACAAGTCCACATTCACCTCCCAGCCAGAGCCGTACCAATGAGTGTCAGAGATGGAACACAGCTGTCCAGGAGTGCAGTTTGCCCTGCACACAAGGCTGCACAGGGAAAGAAACAGCAGAGAAGTATTTTACTGACAGTGGAAAATGTCACATCTCCAGCACAGCTCCCCAGCAATCTGTCACCAAGGCATCAGTGCAGCGACAGCAGCCTGGTTCTGCTGGTGGCACTGCCACTCAGGGATGAGCTCTGTTGTTCACATTGTTTTGGTAAGGAGCTACAGCTAATTAGTTATCTAAACCTTACTTATCTGAGGTTCAATCATCTCACCATCGTCTCTGCCACGTCTATCAGAACTGCTTGTGTTTGCAGCACTAGATCTGGGAGGTAAATCCTCCAGCGTGGTGTTTTTCACTCTTCCAGTCACATTTAATTGGCAGCCACAGACAATGCTTATTTATGTATTTCAGCTTCTTTAGTCTCTGATCACTGCTCTAGTTTTCGTTAACACAATCCACCACATGAAGCAGTGGGTTATTTAAGATCAGTGAGACTCACCACCAGAACCACGCTCACAGTCACAAATGAAATCACTGTGTTTTAGAAATCGGTTGAGCATGAACTTGGAAAGTTACATGGAACGTGTTCCCTTGGTCTGTTTCACATAGTTGTGTAGATGGGAACCCAAAAGAGTCCATCTGGCACTGCTTAACATATCAGAAGGACAAGCCTCCACCTACAAAATCTGCTGTTACGTGTGACATGCATTAATCTTTTAAAAGGAAGAGAAATCCTTAAATGAAACAGGAAAACAAAACAGATTAGGAATGCCGTTCTGTTGACAATACCTCGACCAATTGATGCCAGTTATGATTATTCCCATGCCCCCATGAAACCAGCCCTCCCTCACACAGGTAAAGGGGGACATTGATGGCAGGGACACCTCAGCACTGACACAGCTCAGGTTTCTGGACAAAGAACCGGCTGCCTGACTGCACATCCAGTGGAAGTCTGTGACGTTCAATGCTGCTTCAAAACTCAAGCCTCACAGCCATCAAAGAGCAACAAGAGAAAAGCCATTTTTCATTATACTTTCAAGATGCTGCTGAGACAAAGCTATTAAACCGAGTGCCTGATATATGCAAAAGGTTGAACCATTCCACACACACTCCTTGCGCTGCCTCTGCAATGAACAAAGGTCACTGATGACAACAGGAGGCAGAAATTGGGCTATTTTCTTTGGAAAGGTTGGAGTACATCTGCCGACTCACTTCAAGCCATGTTCATTACCTAACAGGAATATTCTGGCCCTTGATAAATCATTTTTCAAGCCAAGACAGAACAGCTATCTCTAAACCCACCTTATTGTTGCTCCAATGGGCTGACTTATTAAGAAATCCACTTGAGCTCTCACTTCCCAACTCACTGCTGGTGACTTTGGAGAAAAAAATTTCCCACCCACCACAGAGGCTTTCCCCTGGCTACTGGCAGAGCTTAATGCTAATCTGCAGAACATGAGTTAAGAGTAAGTCAGTGTGTCAAGTGTAAATATTCTGTGTCCAGACGTGCTTCAAGTTCAAGGCACAGGGTAACTTCTCCAAAAGCACGATGCTCCCCAAGCCTCACTGACAAAAGTACACACAAGACCCTGGATCAAAGGAGGATAATCAGAAGCCAGACTGGTATTCACAAAAGGAGAAGCAAAGCATTTGGCACATGCATGCAACTGAACTGCATGTGGACCTACTGTGGGTGCAGTGGGCTGTATGCCACTTACCCTGGGAACTGGTAGCATCCACCTTTCCAAAGCTGCTGGCACCAACCAGCGACTGCTGCCACCAATCCATGCATCTTAGTAATCACCTGCATACTCATGAAAACTGCACTGTAGTGTTCATCTTCAAGAAGAACTGACTGAGGGAAATTAGTAATAAAATGCAAGAATGTTTAATTGGCATATTGTTAGCAGAAGGACATAAATTGCCAACTATAATACACCAGGTAAATAAGCATTGCTAGCTTGCTGAGGACTGAAGCGTTATCATGCATTTCACATGGAGTTTTTAATTATTCAGAAAGCAAATGAATTATTTTCAAGCTTGCATTTCCTTGTTTCATGTTGTCCTTGTGGCTTTTAAATATGTTTCCAAAATCTTTTTAAATCCAAGCACTCAGAATTCAGCTTTTCTGTTCTTCTATGACAGCATGGAGCTGGGAACAGAAATCGTTGTCTCACTTTTAAGATCTGCAAGACTCAAATCATACTTGTAAAATCTAAAAATGTCAAGCCTTCAGCAACACAACCAATACCTTTCCATAGGAAGAGCCTGTTGCTGTCAATGTCAATCGTATCAACGGATTTAAATACAGTATATTTAGCATTAGCACTTTTTAGCTCCTCAACTCAAGCAAGAGGTTAGCCAAATTTAGATCTCAACAACCACCGTGTGGTTGGATCAGTTTAATCACTTTTAATTTTTTCAAATCTACCAAGTCCTTGAGTGAGAAAGACCAATCAGAATGGGTAGCTCTGCTTCTGAGACAGATAATCCCCACACTCTTCCCTGACCCATAATTTACAAACTTACAGATATCCATCCCTAGTTGCTTCTTCCAGTTCCATTTATAAAAACTATTTTTTAGCTGGAGCAAATTTTAAAATGCAAGTAAAATCAAAAATGCAATCTCCAATGTTACCAAATCTAATGAGTTGTTTAATTACCCTTGAAACAAGACCTTGTGAAGATCCAACAAACTTTAAAGTGCTGCGTCACCAAACCAACAACCACAGAGATTGCTTACAACACCCAGGTGCAACAATCTGATCTAAGATTCTAATCTGATCGTGGGACACCAGAGCAAGGTGAGGACTTGGCCATTAACTGGCAGACAGTAAAGAAACTTCAGCTTTTCTGCTCTCACGCTTTCCATCAGGGAAGGAGCCTTGCTAAGAGGGGAGCTTCCCAAAACACAGCATTCAGTGTATTCAGCTCATCTGCTGGATGGCACAGAGCACGATAATGGCCATTAAGGCACTGACTCCTGTGACACAAACGTGCATTTCAAGAGAAAATACTTCCAACAGAGCTATGAAAATCCATCAAACAGTAATTACTTCCCTTGTGATCATTCTACCTTTGCTTGAATGGCCTAAACTAAGTCTATATAGAAATACCAGTGATGAGTTCAAGAGCCCATTTACTGAAAGAGAAAGAAAGTTAATCAGAACACTAAACAAAACATTTGCACCTCTCACCAGGTTTTAATTCCACACAAGTATTCCTCACACACACTCAGATTAGCCTCCCCAGCCATCTCTAGCACAATGGAGACGCTGACAGGCCCTTGATGATAGTGGCAAAAAGAGCACAATAATTACTTTTCACCTTTGTTAAGACAATCTTC